CTTGATGCCCCCCAGGATGCCATTGGCCTTCTTGGCCACCAGGGCACATTGCTGGCTCGTGGCCATCCTGTTGTCCCCCAGGACTCCCAGGTCCCTTTGCACAGAGCTGCTCTCCAGCAGGTCACCCCCAACCTGTACTGGTGCGTGGGGTTCTTCCTCCCCAGATGCAGTACCCCACACTTGCCCCTGTTGAACTCCATTGGGTTCCTCTCCACCCAACTCCAGTTGACGAGTGTCAGTCTCCAGTCAAAGCTGCTGTGCTCACCTGGGGGAAGCCCTGCTCGAGCAGGAGCTCCAAACCACGTCCCCCAGTGCCTGCCCTCTCCTAAGCCGGCAGCCCACCAGCGTTCCTCTTGGGCTCTCCATCATGGCAAAGGAGAACCAGAGCGTGGCACACCTTTGCGGAGCTGACGGCTCCTCCTGTCAGCCAGAAGCAGCGCTCGGGCGCTCGGGCAGCTCTCCCAGCAAGTTTTAAGGAAGAAAAGTTGAGAATGATATAGTTGAAATCTTCAGGAGAAGGAGGTGGTGGCGGGGAATTATCTGCCGGGTAAATGGTCTCTGGAGTCCAGCACTGGGAAGGAAAGCGTTCGGAAAGCTGCCTTGGTTTTTACGCTTAACTAATAGATGGGGGAGAGAAAGAAAATATATCTGTGGAGATGTTCCTGATGAAAATGATTGTACTTGTGTATAAAACATCAGAGAGTCAAGGCGGCTCGTGATGAATATTCAGCCGGGGGGGATACGGCGCTCCCGGGGTTGCATCCACCCCAGTATCCGCGTTCCGCCGAGAGTCTTTCAGAATTTATTGCTCATTTTAGTCTCTGCTAGAGAATGAATTGGCAGAGCTGTTACTGGATGGGCACATCCCATAGATTTTATTTACATATCCTTGTGACAGAATAACAAGGAGTTTTCATATGTATTTTTAATTTATTTTTGATTTCCTTTAGTCTTTAAAAAAAAAAAAAAGAACACAACGAATTCTGCGTGTGCTTTCCCCCTGCCTGGTGTTGCGGACTCCTGAGCGGGTTCGCGGTGAACGCTCGGGTGAGGTTTCCGTCAGCTGTCCCCTATCTAGGGCCAAACGGAGGGGAGCGACCCTCGGAACTGGGGTCTGCTGTGGGTCACGGGAGGGGAAACAGCCCCGGGACGGAGCTCAGCTCTGCCACCGCTCTTGGCCGTTCAGCTCCTCCTCCCCCCGGCGTACCGAGCCCACTCAGATCCACCCCGCGCTCTCTCCTGTCTCCACCGGTGGCTGCCAAAGGGGTTCGAAGGAGCGTTTCGGCCAGGACGAGGACACGGTTGCCCTCTGCCCAGGCTCCCCTCGGGCAAGCGGCGGTGTGAGGACCTCCTGAACCGGAGCTGGTGTCCGCTCCGTCCTACTGAACCGCCTCGGGTGGCCCTTTCGAAGAAAACAAACCTCCAGCTCAGGCCGAGCCCGCTTTTTCCAGCCGCCGTGTCCGCGGGTTGTTGGTTTAAGCGTATTTTAGGAGGAAAACGTCTCTTTTGGTTCTTTGCGGACTGCCGGTTCGTTGAGCCGCGCTCAGCCCTGCGCGCGGAGCCGGGGCGGGGAAAGCTGATGCGATGCTTTCTGTAAAGCCGGGAGACGGCGTTCGCACTTCCCCGAACCCCAAAGGCGGAGTGACGTCCCTGCCGCGTCCTGCCGTCCGTCATCCTGCTTTCCTTTCATCCTTTAACTCCCTTCTCCCGTAAGGCGAGGGGCACCGTCCCCTCCGCGTCGGCGGGTTCTCTGCCGAGGTTTGGCTCTGCCGGTGCCGTGCGACTCAACCTCCTCCCGCCGAATACGTCCCCGTCGATGCAGCCGTGCTCGGGAGGGTAACGAAAGCCGGTGAAGACAATCGCCGCGCTGTTGTTGTCTCACGGTGGGCTCTGCCAAAGCGCGGGTAAGAGTTATTCAAAATCAACATTTTGGCATCACGAGTCCCTCTTCCCCCCGGGTGAGCGCAGACGTTCGGTCGCATTCAACGCGAGAGCAGAGCGCCGCTCCCCACGTTCCCTTCAGAGCAGGTAACGCCGCTGCCATCCCCTTCGGCGCCGGTGGTGTGCCGTAGGAGTTCCGTCAGGAGAACCGAAGATCCGTTGTCAGGGGGTGAGGACGCCGTCCCCACTGATGCCGCGTCGTGCCGCAAACCGGGAACGGGCCTTGCTTTCTCCGGCTGCTGGTTTCCCCACCACCAGCGCTGGTCACACGCAAACGAGGAGGAAATGTCCAGCGGAAATGTCGGGCAGGAGCGAGAGCCGGGTCAGATGTGGAGCTCCAGCTGCCCCTGGTATCAAGATAGCAGGGAGGAGGTGGGAGAAGCTGGATGTGTACCTATGCAGGAGGATGGAATCATGGAATCACAGATGGCTTTGGGTTGGAAGGGACCTTGAAGATCATCCAGTTCCAACCCCCCTGCCCTGGGCAGGGAGATCTTCAACTAGACCAGGTTGCCCCAAGCCCCGTCCAACCTGGCCTTGAACACCTCCAGGGATGGGGCAGCCACAGCTTCTCGGGGCAACCTGCCCCAGGGGATCACCGCCCGCACAGGAGAGAATTTCTTCCTCACATCTCATCTCAGTCTCCCCTCTGTCAGTGTCAAAGTGTCCCCCCTCGTCCCACGGCTCTGTCCCTGACCCAGAGTCCCCCCCCAGCTCTCCTGGAGCCCCTTTAGGCACTGGAAGGGGCTCTGAGCTCTCCCCTTTTTGGCCTTCTCTTCTCCAGGCTGAACCCCCCCAACTCTCCCAGCCTGTCCTCCCAGCAGAGGGGCTCCAGCCCTCCCAGCAGCTCCGGGGCCTCCTCTGGCCCCGCTCCACCAGGTCCATGTCTCTCCTGTGCTGAGGCCCCCGAGCTGGAGGCAGCACTGCAGCAATAAGCAAGCTCGTTAACGGGTTAAGAGCTCATTAGGGAACTTGAGCAGTGTCTGCACTCCCTCTGTGTCCCCGTTACACCGGGTCTGGCGTTCCCGTGAGCTGCAAAGCCGTTCCCCAGTGCTCCCCCCGGCGCAGCAGCTCACCCGCTTCTCTCCCTTCCTACTCCCCCCATCCCTCATCCCCATCGGACCCAGAAATCTCCTCTCGTTTGGACTGGTGCTTCCAGACCGAGCTCCGGCGGTTCCCAGTGCCGGGGAGCAGCGCTGGGTGGCAGACAGATACCCACAAAGGGCTTTGCGGTCCTCGGGGATGGGGGGGGACCATGTCCATACCCTGTTGCGGCGCTGATCCCAACGTTTTCTTCCCTCCCGCAGTTCCAGGAGGAGCAGCGCAGGAGGGAGGTGGAGGAACGCCGCAGGTTTCCGCTGGAGCAACGGCTGAAAGAGCACATCATCGGCCAGGAGAGCGCCATCGCCACGGTGGGAGCAGGTAGGACCCCTCGCCCGCCGCCCGCTCTGCCCTCGAACCCTCATCCTCCCTCCGAGCGGGTCTCCCAGTTTGGCAGGGGGGACTCCCGGTGAGGTCCGGTAGGTATTTCTCAGCTCGGAGAGGGAACGCTTGCTCCTCGTGGCCGGAGGAGCTGCTGCAGGTGCAGCGGCACCAGCAGGTCCTTTTTTCCCCGGGCGTTGGAGCGAGGTTCGGGCTGGGTTCTCCCCGGACTAAGCGGCGGTGGCTCGAAGGTCGAAGCTGCTCACCGAAACGCCCACCCCGCGCCTCGGCGCACGCAGGCGGCGGCGCTCCGATGAACGCGGTGGCTGAACCCGGTGCCGCTGGAACACGCAGCTATGTTTTTGTGAGACCGTTTCTCTTACGAGTATCGCTCGTTCACAGTTTTCCAGCGGTTTTGTACAGCGTGAGGCCCAGAAGCCCCTCGCACACGGCCGCTTTGGGGAATTTCCCCGGATCTATTACAGATTTGGGGCTTCATTCCGTGTGAAGTAGGAGCGCGTACTTCAGCCGCGCTGTCCCGGCCCCGTGGGCGAGATCAGGGGAGAGGCAGTGTCCTGTCGCCGGGACGGCAGCGCGGGGAGCTTTAGCGGGACAAATACAGAGGGGTATTTCCCCGCTCCACCTTCCGAAAGTCCCAACAGTCTGCCAGCCCCGAGCGCCCTCAGCCGGGGGTGACATCTTGGTGTGCCACAGCCCTCCCGGGATTTTCCATCCATGAACCTGTCCAAATTTCCCTTGGATCTCCTGTAAGCGTCCGGCAGCATCCTTTGGCAGGTGGTTGTGCAGCTGCTGCAGAAATAGACCCTTTTATTCATTTTAAATCTGCCTCCTGATAGTTTCGCCTGGTGCCCTCGTGTTCTTGGGTCAAACGAAGCCTTTGCTGCGGAGGACGCGGTCTCTCGGCCCCACCACCTGCAGTTTATGGCGCAAAGCTCTCGCAACAGACTGGTTTCGGTGGGAGTTCAGAACCTGCTGCTGCTCTCCGGTCAGCGGGGGCTGCGATACGGAGCTCTCGGGCTGCGATTGGGGGCGGTGGGTGGTAAGGCCAACCGTGTCCCGGGCTGCATCCCCAGCAGCGTGGCCAGCAGGGCGAGGGGGGATTGTGCCCCTCTGCTGCGCTCTGCTCTGGGGAGACCCCCCTGCAGTGCTGCCTCCAGCTCGGGGGCCTCAGCACAGGAGAGACATGGACCTGGTGGAGCGGGGCCAGAGGAGG